GTATCATGAACAAATTTGTTGTTTTGTGGGAGGCATGGGGAAACAAAGAGCCAAAACTCTGAGGGAGACAACACACGTGTTTTCCTGTATGTAACTTGGGGGAAAATCCCGGGGCAAAATACCTTTGAAACCAAAATCAGTCAAAGGGGAGAAACCCATTTATTTCTTACAAGCAGTTGTCCACTTCTGGTCTCCCATGACCCAGCTGCAGAAGAGACCTCCACCCAACCTCTCTGGTCCAGCAAGCTCTCACTGGCCTGCCCTTGTAATCACCCATTGATATGGAGATGGACAACTTCTCTCCACCCCTTGGAAACATCTATTGATATGGAGATGCACTAAGGCCCCCACAAGAGATTCTGGAAATACTGCAGTTTTACCCACACTGTAGATATTAATTCTGCTTTGGCTGGAGCAGGAAATAGTAGTAAGACTTTGGGAAGTGAGCAAGTTTGAGACTTCCCTCATGTGTTCCAGACTAACTCACTCCAAAGACGGACTCAGGACCTTTCTTTTGAAATCAGATTGCTCGAGCCACAACAGGCTTCAGTAGAGAGATGTGACACCAATACAGCTTCCAAATTCATACAAATGGTTTACAGTCGCTGCGGGGTGACAGAGGCAAAAAGGAGCATGAGCTGATCTGTGGAACTTCTCCTTCTGACTCTACCAGAGGGCACCAAATTGGGCCAGACTTCCTCGAAGAAGTAAAAATGCTAGAGAAATCAGTGAACAGCTGTTGGAAGGCAGTGGCAGGCCTAAGACACCAAGGGCTTAAAAGGCTAAGAGTCTGGGAAAAAAAGGAAGCCTGACATTTTGTGAAGCTTTCCTCTCAAGGCATTTTTCAATCATCAAGTCTGGGATTCAATAAAAAAAAATATGTCAGACATATTAAGTAATGGAGCAAAATGAGGAAAAAGCAGTATTTGAAAAGATACTGTTGGAGATTTAAAAAAATTTTTTTTCATTTATGATACTCTGTGAATGCAAAGCAAGATAAAAAAGAAAAGGGGGAAAAAGACATCTAGACACATTGTAATAAAGCTACTGAAAACTATGACCAGAAAAAGATAAAACAGAAACAAAATTTAGCTTCAGCCAGAGGAAACTCCACATAACTTTCACAAGAGCAACCTGAGATTTCTGACTCCACAACTAAAATAATGCCAGAGGAAAATGGAATGGCATTCTTCAATTGCTAATTGAAAACAACTTCTCATCTAAAAGCCTATAATTGAAAGTTCATCAGTATTAATGTCAGAATTAATACATTGTCAGACTCATTCTTCAATTGCTAATTGAAAACAACTTCTCATCTAAAAGCCTATAATTGAAAGTTCATCAGTATTAATGTCAGAATTAATACATTGTCAGACAAACAAACAAAATCTGAGAAATACATCACCAGAACATCCCAGGAGAAAAGAAATATTAGAATGAGTTATTCAGGCAGAAGGAAAATGATCATATGGAAATTTACTTCAAATGCAGACAGTACGAGGAGAACTGAAAGAATATTTTAATAATAAAAACAATAATGTCTATGGGTTTAAATTTTACATAGAATTAAAATACATAGCAGCTATAATGCAAAAACAAGAAGAGAATAATTAAATTGGAGTTTTTGCATTATTATCTAGGAATGATAAAAGTACTCATCTCTACTACATTATAAAAATTCAAGATGCATATCACAAGCTTTATTTATAACTTACTAAAAGAATAGTATAAAGTGTATAAGTAAAAAGCTAATAAAGTGATAGAATTAAATAATTTTTTAAAAGGTAAGAAAGGAAGAAAACAAAGGTAAGACAAATAGAAAGGTGATAAATTTAAACTCAACCATCTGAGTAAAACACAGTAAATGGGAGTAGTCTAATCCAATTAAAATACAGATGAAAAAGTAAAAACAATTATATGCTGTTTACAACCTCAAATATAAGGACATAGAAAAGTGGGAAGGAGATAAACTCACAAATACTGTGAGCCCTGTAACTATTTTATAATTGGAAATTTGTACCTCTTCATCCCCTTGACCTATTTCACACATTCCTTCACCCTCCGACCCTGTGGCCACCATCAGTTTGTTCTCTGTGTTTATAAGTCTGTTTCTTTTGTTTGTTCACTTGTTTTATTTTTTAGATTCCACGTATGAGTGAAATCATATGGTATTTGTCTTCCTCTGACCTTATTTCACTTAGCATAATACCCTCTAGGTACATCCATGCTGTCACAAACAGCAAGATTGCATTATTTTTTGACTAATATTCCATTATATATATGCACCACATCTTCTTTATCTATTCTTCTATTGATCAATATTCACCACATCTTCTTTATTAATTCCTCTACCGATTGAAACTTAAGTTGCTTCCTTTCATATCTTGGCTATTATAAATAATGCTGCAGTAAACATAGGAGTGGATATATATCTTTTCAAATTATTGATTTTATTTTCTTCAGGTAAAATCCTGAAGTGTAATTACTGGGTCATAGGGTACTTCTATTTTTAGTTTTTGAGAAACCTCCAAACTGCTTTCCATAGTGGCTAAATCAATTTATATTCCACCAGAGGGTTTAAGGGTTCCCTTTTCTCTATATCCTTGCTGATACTTATTTTTTGACTTGAGCTAGACATTCTGACTGGTGTGAGGTGGTATCTTATGATTTAGACTTGCATTTCCCCTGATGATTTGTGATGCTGAGCATCTTTTCATGTGTCTGTTGGCCATCTGTATGTCTTCTTTGGAAAAAGAAGATTCCCTCTGCCCATTCTGATTTCAAACTCTGCTATAGAACTACAGTAATAAAAACAGTATGGTGCTGGCACAAAAGCAGACTCATAGACCAATGGAACAGAATAGAGAGCTCTGAAATAAACCCACACCTATATAGTCAATGAATTTACAACAAAGGACACAAGAATATACAATGGGGAAAGCACAGACTCTTCAATAAATGGTGTTGGGAAAACTGGACAGCTACATGCGAAAGAATGAAACTGGATCACTGTCTTACATCAGACACAATAAGAAGCTCAAAATGGATTAAAGACCCAAATATAAGATCTTAAACCATAAAATTCCTAGGAAACAGAAGGAATAAACTCTTATAAAAATAACTTTTTCTGGTTGCATCTCACCAGGGCAAGGGAAACAGAAGCAAAAATAAACAGGTGGGGCTACATCAAACTAAAAGCTTTGTACATCAAAGGAAACCATCAACAAAATTAAAACACAACCTATTGATGGGAAAATATATTTGCAAATGATATATCTGATAAGGGGCTAATATCTAAAATATACAAACTCATACCCCCCAACACGAACAAACAAAAAATCCTACTAGATTCTCATTTTGCTATCTTTACAGAAGTGCTGTATTATTAAGACACAAATAGGAGATGTCCCCATCTGCTGGCAGAAACATTGAATTTCGGACAGACCCCTAAGCTGTGGAAGGAAAACAAGTACTTTGAGACATTGTGTTCCATGTGATGGACATGCTCTCATTTCAGTGATAACAAACACTATTAACATAACTTTTTTTAGGGTTAGAGTAGAAAAGATTAGTTATTAGAACAGTAAATACAGGCCACACAGTGGGGTCAGGTACATCAGGGAGTGGATAAAGAAATCAGCATAAACGCTGACCTGGCCAGACACCTAGGGCTCATTTCAGTCAGTAGTTCTGTTTGTTATGCAAAAGACTGCCCTAAAATGATGCACCTCTTTTCCTAGATGTGTTGGTGTGGAGCAATGATCGAGTTATTCGCTGGATACAAGCAATTGGACTTCGAGAATATGCAAATAATATTCTTGAAAGTGGTGTGCACGGCTCACTTATAGCCCTGGATGAGAACTTTGACTACAGCAGCTTAGCTTTGTTACTACAGATTCCAACACAGAACACCCAGGCAAGCCCCTTTGTGCTGTAGTTACACTGTCTCCTACTTTACATAACAACAAACTAAAACTTTTAGGGAAAAAAAAAACACTTGGCTCTGTATTCATGATTCCTAATGAGTTAGGAATATTTCAACCTTTGAAATATGTCACTGGAGCTTTAATTTCAAGCTACTGGATTTCTAGCCAAAACAAAATTATAAAATTAAGCAGGAAGGGATTTAGAGGTTATGTGGTCCACCTCCCACCTGAAAGACAGATTCCCCAAAACAGTCTCCCTGACAGATGGCCGTCAGCCTCTGCCTCTCTGAGAAGCAGTCATTTCTATTTACATTTCTGAATCATACAGACACTTAGCATTGGGTATGCCATTAATTCCCCGATCTGGATAATTATTTGAATCATCAGAGTTCCTTAAAAATTTAATACCTGCAACCTACATCACAAGCCTAAGAAATCAGGTATCAAGAGACAGGGTCAGGAATCCTAATGATCTAAACTTTCCCCAAAGCATGATCGGTCAGGTTTGAGAACTACCCTTATAGAGTTTGATAAAAATTTAGTCATCTAACGTCACTTTGTTTTTTTTTTTTATGTATTTCAAAGTTTATACAAAATATTCAATTGGATTAAAGTAACCAAGTGAGGCCAGAGCCTCTTGACCTCAGACATTTATGGGAGGCTCTCTACTGTCCAGGGGCTAAAGAAAATTGACCTACCTTGTATTGATAGCTAAAATTTACAATGGATTGTAGACCTGAAGGGCTAAAATCTGAAGATACCATAAATTAAACAGCATAATGCTTTCTCAGGTAAATATAATCTCTCTGATTTTCTAAAATAAAATGTGACTTCAGTGATGGTAACTGTGATTTGATGTCAACAGGCGAGGCAGATCCTTGAAAGGGAATACAATAACCTCCTGGCTCTCGGAACCGAACGGCGACTGGATGAAGTAAGTCCTTATCTGTCATTCACAAGGGATCTTTGTGAGTACAAATTGCTTTCAAGGAAGAGTGGTCAAAAATTAATCAGAAGCTTGTTCTTTGAATAGAATTCAAACTGTCCCCACTATTGTTCTTATATATTAAATTTTTCACTCATTTGACTTTGGATAGAACTTTATGAATTCATAAATATTGTATCAGCAGTTAGAAACACTAAGCAGTTATTTCAAAAACAGACTTCTTTCATGAGCTCTGACTGCACAATAATGTTCAGCAACATTTTTTAATTATATGCAATGACAACACTAAATTCAGCTTTTTAATAAGGCATGTGCCTACTTCTTAAATATCAGCATATCTTCACAGGAAATTTTAGGATATTAAAATGAAGAGAAAACTTGCTTTCAATAAATGGGACGTGTTCATCATTTTAGATATCAATATTGAGTTTTCCTTATAAATATATGAATGGGCAGATGATCTTGGTATTATAAAAGCCAGCTGCGCTTTATGGAGGAGGTTATAGACAGATAAGCTCTACAGTCTTGACCTCAGCTAATTTCCTAAAAAAATCATACTCCTGTCCAATAAGGATAATGCTTAATATTTTTAAAAAGCAGTTTAACACTTAGCTGATCTTCATTTTATAAATTGATAATATTTTTAATCCTTATTCTTGTTGAATCAAAAAGATAGTCTGCATAAACCGATACATACATTTAAATACAATTTTTCTCCATGCTTAAAAGTTGCAAAATAAAGCTCTGTCATATTACTACATTCTAAAATGCGTCCAGGTGCAAACACAGCCTTTGTGAGTTAGTGTTGCTTCCTAAAGAAATGAACCAGCAGAAAGCTCTGAATGCCATGGACTATCTGCCTTTAAAATATCAGGCTACTTTTATTATTAAGAACACAGCATACAAATTTATCATGCAAATCAATGCAAATTATTCTAGTTTTTTGTTTCTTTGAGTGTGAACAAAAATAGCTAACCAGCTTGCCCAAAACTAGAGTGGACTTCTTTCTGGGGCTGGAATAATATGCAGATTCCACTGAAATACTTTGGAAAGTGCTTCTACAGACTTCAGTTAAGAGGATAACTTCTAACCTCTTCTCACGGACACTTTTTCCCTGATGTTATTTGCAATTCCCATTAACTTTCTGCAGTAACACAATGTTGGAAGAGCAAAAGTAAGGACTCGTCATTTGAACTGTTAATGTACTGGCTTATTTTTAGGCTCTTACTTTATACATTATAAGAGTTGTATATTTCTGCAACATAATGTAGTATTTTGTAGAACCGAAGAATATACATTTATGCAACAACTTCTCCAAGATTCAAGAAGTCAGCCATGCTGTGAAACTCTTGCTTCTTTTCTACACTTGCAAACATTAGGTCTAGGACACTGTAAAACCCATCAGTTGAGAAAAAGAATAGCAGATATCCCTTAAGCTGTAGGATGATTACTAAATGTAAACAAAATTTAGATATTGGTAAGTATTCTTATAGAACAGTGGATAGATTTAACTCTTCCCAGAATGGCTTTGAGTGTCAGATTAGCAATCTGTGATGGAAAACATCTTAGTGTTATTCATAACAATGAGAATTTCAGCTGAATATCGACCTATTCTATATATGTTGGCATATCCTGTTCATTTTGGCATAATGAAGTCACCTGAGCTACTAGGGTCAACATACTTAGATATAACTTCAGGAAATACAGTGTCTTTCCCTAGAAGAGAAACCCAGATGGAAAGATTAACTTTTTCCTTAGAATTAGACACAAAGAATAGTAGTAGTTAAATGGTAAGATACATACTGATGTTTTCAATTGAGAGAAAGTAACTACATCCTTTGTGTATGCATATAGAGAGAAGAAATTATATCATTAAAATATAACAGAATCAGCAACCACAATTATGTTTGTAAAACAGCATCTAGAATTACATTATGCTTTTAATGGCATCTAAGGAGCATGTTTTTATTAGGATGGTGTCTAGGCTGTACAGGTTTTTCAACAAATTATAAGGTAATTCTCTGTCAGCTGAAATCTAACAAATGACAAATTAAGTTTCTTACACATAGTATAGGTTATAGTATCCATATGAGCCACCAGACTACACCAAATACATAGATTTGCATAATGAATCTCTCTTGTATACATAAAAGCAAAATTCATAAAATAGTTATTCAAGTGTGTGAGTCAAATGCAGTTCACCCAACACTTACTGAATTAAGTATCATCTCATACAATAAAATCAGTTGGAAAAACGTGTAACAAAGATAATCCAATACAGTTTTCAGAAAAACTTTGGGGTTTATTTTAGGTTTTCAAAAATATTTATTTTTATAGATGATAAACCTTACGTTTGAAGTCATATTATAAAACCATTTTCATATGACTTCAATCTCCGGTGTTCTCATTATGGAATCAATAGAACTCTTAAAGCGTAGTAGTCTATATACACGCTTTACAGACCGAATGTAAATAATCAGTTTCTAGGCACACAGTTTTAAGCACCTGGACTAGTTGTCTTGTTCTCATTACATAAATTATAATTGTACTGGCAGAGTGATGACAAGAACTTCAGGCGTGGGTCAACCTGGAGAAGGCAGTTTCCTCCCCGCGAGGTGCATGGAATCAGCATGATGCCTGGGTCCTCAGAAACTCTACCAGCTGGATTTAGGTTAACCACGACATCTGGGCAGTCACGGAAAATGACAACGGATGGTAAAGTAGCTTTGCATTTCTGCTTATACAGTAAAAAACTTGTTTAGCCAATGCTAGTATCATTCTCTGGCCCTGCGTAGTTTTCTGGAATTGATTCTTTTCTTGAGTTGGTTTGCTCTGCCTGAAGTTTGCTTTCATCAAAAACCAGATCATTTTATAAACTGCTAATGCATGAGCTCATGGCACCTTATTTACATTTTTACCATAATCTATATTACCCTAAAAAGGACAATTTTGGCTAATGTCCACATCTAGGAAGAATAAACATCTGCATGATTTGTATTTCTTCACTCTTCAGTTCCTTTGTTTAGTTGGAGGTTGGATTTGGACAAATGGTCCTGAGTAGATGGGAATCAATTCCACCATCACCCTACTTGTTTGAATATTGCAAGTTTTATATTTTATCTGAGAAACTCAGACTCATCAGATATTTTCACCTCTGACCAAAGCAAAAGGCCTTAAATAAACAAGCACAACCATGAGAAGAGAATTAAGCAAACACAAAACCACCAGTAATTTCCCAACTAGTATTTCCTTCTGTGGACATTAGACTGTGTGACAAACTTCACCAAGGAAGAGAGCCATTCTGGAGAGGCACTTCTGAAAAAGTAGTCACAAAAGTTATTTCTGTTTGGCAGGCATTCAAAAAATAGTCCCACTCTCTTAAAAGACAATCACCTAGAAGCATTATTTCTTTTCAAGGTGATTGCTATCACTTAAAATTCATTCCAAGATAAACTGTGATCTTTGATCTACATGTCTTCTAACCTATCAATATTATAGAACATGTTAGCAAAAATCCGTGAAGAATTTGAGATTAAAATGAGTGTAGAAGCTGCTCGATACTCGGAGGGGAAAAATAAAATCCACCTCCTTGTATCCTTGTATTCTGTAAGAGCAATCTTTGCTTCAAAAGCAGAAGCACTCTGGGGAGCTGCTCTTTGTTACCAGTTTCATCTAAGGAGGAATACACAACAGTTGGAAAAACTCCATTGAGTCACATCGGAATCAGTTCTCATTAGTGACCTGTTACGAAGAAAAGGGATGCAAGTGGCTTACATCTGCGAGGAAAGAGGTCTCGTGTGTTCAGTATCCCTTTATGCAGGGAAACTAAATCTCTCATCTGAAATTTTGTGCTCAATCGTCCAAGTCCCTCTAAAGCCCTTTTCTCCATTTGCAGTTGCTTCATCAAGACTGCAGAGGTTAGACAACTCCACTGTTCGCACATACTCATGTTGACAAGCCACTCAAAGGAGGCGGCACTGACTAGCTGTGAGTAGTTTTCCTTGGCTGACAAAAGACAAACCTCCATGGACTAGTCACTCTACACAATACTCATGCTCTTTGGTACGGCCTAGCAGCACAGAAGTGAGAGAACCCCTTTGAACTGCTGAAACATAAAAAAGGAGTCTTTATATTGCCACCCTTCATCCAGTATTTCCTATCACTGCCTGTCTGCTATGGTCTAAGTTACGACTGCTGGAGGCCCATCTCTTCCCCCTTATATCCATCAGTGGGTTGCAACTGTAGCAGCTGTCTTATCCTTTTTAGTAGCATTTGATATTGACACCCAGAGCATTTTATCGAAGAGAGTTTGGCACTTACAGAGTAATACATTTTTAAGTGAATATTTTATATGGAGGAAGCCAAAGTAGCCAGAGTCTGTAGGTACACAAACAGTGGCAGAGACAGGAAAATTATTTGGAGGTGGTTTCATATTAAAAACAAAAGTATAACTGAAAATTTTGAACTTCTAAAATGTGATTTTTCATCAGTGTGACTTATCTTTGTTGAAAACAAGGATCTGGGGCTTAGAGCACAGGAATAAAGTAAAACTGTAAGAATGGCAAACAGGACTAGCAGAAAAACTTGATATGGCGTGTGTATTTAGAGAAATACTAGTTGATGGAATATACTTCCAAATCCTTATGAAAATGGAATTTTATTGAAAAATTGTCTTTGTAAATTGTGGTTTCCTAGATTATAAGTGTCAAATGCTCATAAAAAATAAACCTAAAACTGTGCTTTACCAAGATATTCTACCATTTACAATGAATGAATATTTTGGAAAAATACTTTTTAGAGAAATATGTAGAACCGGTGTGCACAGGGATGGGGAGAGGAAGCAGTCATAGGCAGAGGAACAGCTCATCTTGTGTTGTTTATTCATTGCCTTGAACTAAAAACTGTACAATTTATGTTGGTCTTTGGGGCCTAATGTGGGAGCTGATAATGCTGCCTTACTTGGGTCATTATTTGAAGATGCTAATGATAGAGCAAAAAGCTTTCAGATAGGAAATTTCATTTCAGAATTAAAACCCTAACATTAAAATTTTAATTATGGTATACAATTTGGCATCTAATTAGTCCCGATCTAAAGTCTATAATAATTTGGCTAAATAAGAGGCTTTCCAAAATACTGTTTGTAGTAGCTTCTACATAACATGGCAATTTCCCCAGGAACTAAATACTTCACCAATTTATAAACGGCTATTTAATATATTGAGTGGTGCTTGCTTCTTAGCTCTTGACTGATGGGTAGAATTACTCTTTAACTATTTGCAGTCTGTATTTAGTGCATGGCATTCTAGTTCATATTTCCTAGTTTTTACCATTAAGTGGGATAAAGGCATTTATTTACAATAAGTTTATCTAGGACATCCAAGATTCTGTTTTGATAAAGCATTAGTGCTTTTGTTAATACGTTCTGAATTATTTTACTGTTTCTTTTGAGTCAAGAATAGTAATTGTGGGCTTTTCCCAAGTACATTATGACTGGAAAGAATCAGTGATGTCACCTCACCAATCCAGATCCTTTAAAGTATATTATTTATTATCATTGTCTTTGTCACAATTAAATAAAGGTATCATCTTAAGAGTGCTAAAAGATAAACCAGAAAACACCTATTCCATCCATATGTCAACTCACCCCCTTTTATTTATTAATGACCAAGCTGTAAATTTTTAAAAAGGACTGCTGACATTTTCTGTGTATACCTTTGTTTATTACCTCCATATTTTTTCCACAATGTTGAGCAAATATTTATTAAGCTCATCTGGACAGAACTGGGTAAGAACAAATGTGAATTACATCCGGCTATAGTTTAGATCCTAGATATTCTATTCAGTATCTCTTAGAACAGAGGGAGGCAGGCCGCACGGAGGTGCTTCAGAAGTAGTAAAGGGGACTTCTCCAGTCGGGAACCTTTCAGCAAACTAACACTGTCCATTAAATATTTTAGATGTCGTCTTTTCAGTCTACTCTACCTAAAGTGCACTACCATCGAAGAAGACGAGCAGTGAGAAACCTTTGTGAATACTGAATGCTAAGGAAATAACCACAAGTACTGGTTTATTAAGCTGAAAATGTGATTTTTGGGGAAGTCAGATACTAAGTTTGATTAGTTTCCTGCAATTGTAAGAAAAAGTTGAAGTCATTGAATATGTATCATCCCCATCATAAATTCTGTACAACAGATGCTTTTATGAAATGGAGCCACTTGTTTTTTCACGTTTTATTGTAATATACTAGGCATTTATGTATTCCTGTGTATTTCTTCTTTTAAAATGTGTACGTCTTATGTAAATGGATATAAATATGATTTTTTAAAAAATAAAATCTATGGTTCATGAAGTCTCGAGTGCAAACATTTGACAATTCCAAGTACTGTTTGTATTTTACCACTCCACCATTTTTACAGGTTTTGAATTGTAACAGTTAAATCGATGTTTCCTAGAAGCATGTTTCATGCTTCCACATGGTTCTCCTTCAAGTCTGTCAATCTTTAAAGCTGAAAACCTGCCTCTGATCTTGGAAAAAGAATGACTTAACCTGGAACTGGAGCCAAAAATAGACCTTTAAAGGCAATCAGGGATGTCCTTTATCTTTAGAAATAGCACTGTGATGGCTCGATCTCCTTTTCAATACAAAACAAAGCCAAACTGTTTACAAGAGTCAAAGCAAATATTTAAAAAAATTTGTAAAGAAAAAAAACATTATCTTCTTTCATTACCTGTGGACCAAGGGGGGAGAAAAACCAACAAAAACTTCTTTACTAAGAACCACGCGTTCATTCAAGTATCTTGAACCGTCAGCCAGCACTGTTCAGTGAAGGAAAACCACTGCAGAGTCTGAGGCTCATTTCCACTGGAACAAACAAGACCCCAGACACCCATACCTTTTGTCTATGTAACAGGGCATTAGCCAGACTCATGTCTAATGTTATAAACTTCTAGCCAAGATGGCCTTGTTGCGACTTAATCTGAAGTCAGTCTTATCAGAGGAAATAAATGAAAGACAGAATGATTAACATATATAGTGTATAAAGTATAGATGAGTCCTCTCTTTCCTGTGGCTTTATTTGGTGGTGTAACTGTTGTTTATTCTTTGTTTATATGGGAGATTTCAAAGTAAAACCTATTTAATAATACCATTTATCTAATTGCTGATTTTCTGCTGCTTGATCTTATTAAGCGCAAGACCTGTCATTAGGAATTTCTTTTTTGTGTTTAATTTGCTATGTTTGCACGTACATTACATTTGTTTTGATGTCTGTTTTTGTTTAACAGATTCGGTTGAAAGGTAATGGTAACAGAAACCCTCTCAGTTGTCAATAAAAAAAAATACTTCGAGTTCCCTGTTTAAGCTTTGTTTTCTAGTCACGTAAAGTTTAACATTTTATTTAAACTATAATGAAAACAGTTCTTTTCGAGTGAATCCTAATCTAATATTTATCTTCAAAAGTGAGTCAGCCACCAGAGGGAGTACTGAACTTGCTTATGAGAGTGATTTTAAATTCTCTAAACATGTTGCCTGAGCAGACACAATGGGAAAGAGCTTTCTAAGTTCACCTGATCTTGCGGATCCTGACTGTAAAAGCAAAATTATAGCAACTATGATATAAACTAGATTTGTATCTAAAGTTTCCTAGTCACATAAAGTTTTACTTAAAAGTAGGGCAAGAAGGATAACACTCAAGTCATCAGATTGCTTAAAATCTGGGAGGAGAAATAGGAATTTTCTATTTAATATTTATAATAAAGCACTTTCACTGGATTGTACCTAAAATACTCTGAATTAAATGCATCTCTAAAAAAATAACAATGTTACATAAAGAAGTCATTAATTTATCCTTTACAATCTAAAAGAAACCTACGGTTTTCTGAATGTCTTTGTTCAGGTTGTAAGCAATTTCTATGAAACGAACAAGTAAGCAAGCTATTTATTACCTCTTACACGGATCTCCAGCCTTCCCCCAGGAAATGGATGACTAGACAGATCTTCTCTCTAGATGATTCCCTAAACCATCCCATTTCAGCCATTTCCTTTAAAATAACCATGCATGTGGACATCTCAAGAATATTAGAAAATATTCAGAATTCCTATAAGAAAAATAGTTATTTTCTGGCTGCAACTTGAGCTTTTAGATTTTGGCTCCAAGCTGCAGATTCACAATTTCAGAAAGTAGCTGTATATCAATGTGACTTTCAATTAAAATGCTTTTGGGGGGAGTATAATTTTAAAAATCATACATTAGATACATTTTTTTTCTAAAGTGCTAGTCAACCTCAACTGAGCCAGGTTACAGGCAATTGATAAAGATGCTAACTGGGTCTAATCACACAGAAGACAAAGGTCTTCCACTAGCCTTCAAGTACACACTGTGAGACCCAGCTTTGCAAGTCACATGTCACTTTGTAAGAAATTCTATTTAAATAATTATTTCTGGGAAATAATCCCCAAAACTTCACTCCCGCTAGGAAATTGACTCAAAATGAGAAAAACAAGTCATGCCTGCTTCAGTACTTCTTCTATGTGCCCAAAAATGCTGGGGTCTTCGATGGTAGGTGTGACCTGGGGAAAAAATATCAGTCAGGTGAATGTTCTTACTTGAACCCTTCCTGTCTCTCTATAAACAATCACATGCAATGTTGTAGTCCATGTTATCTTATAACGCATATGGAAATGTTTGAAAATAGGGAACATTGAACCTAATATTTTAAAATACATCTGTAGTTTTCCAGGGTAATAAATGATCAACTAGAAAAACTATTTGTCCTGATAGTACTTTATCTAGAACTGCTCTTACGGGCCTTCCTATGTGCCTATATATAGAAATAATTTTTTTTTTTGGCATTTGCTAATACAACTGCTCTTTATTGTTCCATCTTTACTTTTAACACATGGTGACATTTACAAATACGTGTATCTTTGCATGTATAATGTGTGCAAAAATTAAAAGAATATATATGCTGTAATCAGCCTCAAGTTTCCTAAAATAATTTTCACTCAAAACAGGATAATTGACAGATATATCAATGAGAGCGGTTTAAACATGTATGCCAGCCTCAGTTGTTTGCTTTCTCATTTGCTAATAGCCATTAAGGACTGCAATTGAAGGGAAATGTGCCTTCAATTCACTAAGATTAAGTTTCCACAAGTTTGTTTGAATTTAACTAACGTTATCTACTACTAGTAATATTTTCACACACTGGCTCCTATAATTTCAAAGTATGGGGTTTCAAGTCATCTGTTTTTCTCTCCAAAAATCTTCATTTCAATAGGGACAATGGCTATGTAATTTCTCCCTTAACATTAAAAATGTTATTAAGTACTCGTGTGTTTTTTAGGGACACATTCATGCTTGAGAACCATATTTTAAGAGGTTTGCAGATGCCAAAGGAATAGAGAAAACCATTTCAGTCCCAGCATTTAGCTTCCCTGGTAACTGACCTTATACGGCTTGCCATTGACAAGGGCAGACAGCGCTGAGCGGGGAATTTTGCCAGACCTAGTTTTGGGTAACTGTTTGACGAACACAGCATTTCGAAAAGCAGCCACAGGGCCAATGCTCTGTCTAACATGACTCACAAGTTCTTCCAAAACTTGTTCCTTTGTTGCATTTATCTCTAGAGAGAAAGTGCAGATGGTAAGCACTGAATTAATCACTGAGTTAATCATTCAGGGCCCAAATAGTCAGGGAGGACAAAGATCTCTCACCTTTTCTCAAAACACAGAGCGCTAACGGAACATGACCTTTCAAAGGATCCTCCTTGGCCACCACCGCGCAGTCGGCCACGGCGCCGTGGGAAAGAACCGACTGCAGGAGGGAAAAGCACTCACTTAGAATGCACACCCACACAGACACGTGTGTGTGTTTATATATATATATATATATCATTTCAACTGGAAAAAAATGTACACGTCAGACAACTCAAAAACCCACAGCTGCCTGCATGAAAAGTACTAATTCACATCATGGCAACTGGAGTGAACAGTTAGGATCCCCATGGTAGTCACTCCCTAAAGGTTGACGTAATTAAGACAAGTCGCTTCTCTTACCTTGCAAGTAACGGAACTGTTTCTTCATCTCCATAGTTTACTAATGATGTCAGGGAAAATATGTAGCTGATACCACATGTGCACAACTTGCAACAGAGGATGGTGTTTCCAGGAGGGGCTTTCTCCCCCCTCCTCCGGGGCACACAGACAAGGCATAGGAAGCAAGGTGAGGCTAGCAGACAGTTTTATTTGGCATGGAGAAAGGACACTCTGGAAGAGAGAGCGGTGGCCTGAGAGGTCAGGGCCAGCTCTGTTTATCTGAATACTTCCTGGTTTTATAGAAAGTGAGAGGGGTGGGTTAAGGCGGGGCTAGTTGGTAGGTTCAGATCATGTAACTGCTCTAGCTCTGGGCATGCCCTTGTCCCTAATGCACACAGAAAAACACGGGGCGGGGGAGGAGGCATCTAAGGATCATGCGACTGGGCCAAGGCTGGTCCCAGACATGCCTCCCTGTCCTATGCGTGCGCATCAGTGGGGGGGAATTCCGGGCCCTGCCTTCCTTCCCGTTTTAGTCAGAGTGGGTGTAAACCCACCTAGAAAGGTTCCCAGCTTCCACCTCGCCCTTCCTTTCTGCTCCTCGTGTCTTACTAACTGCCTCCTCTAAAGTGTCATGGTGACTTGGCTTTGGTGCTGGTACCATAAGCACACCTTCCAGAGAAGTCCAAGGCAGTCCCGGCACTAAACAGGGACTTTATTTCTGCATCTGTTACTGAACAATGAACAGGACATTTATTTTCTTGAGTGGCCACCCATCCCCCCTTGGAGGAGCCATTTTCATTTTGCTCGTCCTGAGCTCTAAATGCCATAAAGAACACAGAAGTTTTCTATCTGGAATCCCAAGAACTCACAGAGTAACCAGTGAAATATAGAAGCTCAGGGTTAAAAAAAAAAACAAAAACATTTCTGCTCTGATGGGATTTTTCAAAGATGAATGTTCAAAAAATCCTTTCCTGAGAGAGCAATATTTATTTCAGGGACTGCAAATCCCTAATGGCTAAAGTAAAACTGAGCAACATGCCAGCCACTCCTTTAGTACTTCTCAGTCTTCATTCACTCAGCAAATACTTCTTAAATCTTGCTATGGTCCGACCACAGCACTAGTTTAGCTCAATGCTGAGCAAAAAAAAAAAAAAGGCTGAGTACCATCTCATGGTGCTCACAATCTAGTCGAGGAGAGTGATCTTAATAAACAATCATGAGTATTTCATTGATTAAGTATAAAAGTGGTAAGGGGTCTGGGGAGATAATTCAGGTTTTTATACAAAAGACTCAGCAAAAGCAGAAGGATATATGTCTCAGAGAAGCCTTTCCTTAAAAAATGACAATGAGCCCAAGTCTAAAGTGAGTAGACACTGATTAGGTGGGTGGGAGTGGGAGGAGCCCTGTGGAAGCGTGGCACGTGTCCCTTTCAAGCCTGCAGGAGACCAGTCTGGAAAGCGAAGGACAAGAGAAAGGGGCAAGAGGAAATGGAGCTGCAGAGGGAGAGAGAGAAGAAGATAACGCCTTCCAACTTATTTTAGTATCATTAGAAAGGCAGTAATGCACCTTCAGGAATTGAGGAAGAGACTCAGTATCTGTGAACTTTTAAAATACACTTTATATTCACAGCAAGATTGAGTGAAATATAGAGGGAGTTGTCTTATGCCTCCTGCCTCCATATATGCACAGCTTCCCCCACTATCAAAAGCTCTCACCAGAATGCTTACATTTGTTACACTTGTGAACCAGCACTGACACACCATTATCACTCTGGTCCACAGCTTCACACCAAGTACATTCACTCTTGGTACATTCAGTGGGTTTGTCATATGTGTCCACCATTACAGTATTTCACAGAATGGTTTCACTGCCCTGAAAACCTCAAGCTCTGCCTATTCATCCCTTACTTTCCACTTACCCTTGGAAACATTGATGTTTGTTTGTCTTGCAAGTTTCCAAGGCCTTTCCTAGAATATCACATGGTTGGAATCATCCAGTCTATGCCTTTCATATTGGCTTCTTTCATTTCAGAGAGGGTTTTGAAAAACAAACTTCAAAAAAGTTTCACCGTGGAGAAAAAATACAGGGTTGTTGATGGCGAATATCACAGTTTGTCCAGGGAAATCACCTGAGAGGCCACTAGAGTGGACCAAGGGTATATTAGTGGGCATGAAGATTCTAGAGTCTTTTTAGAGGAGGCAGAGGAGCTAAGGGGGATTCTGTGGGTTTTGGCTTGAGCAGCTGGTTGGTTAGTGGCACCACATTCTAAGCCAGAAAAGGCTAGTGAGGGCTCATGGGAGGCAGGAGAATGCGTTAAGTCTTGGAGATGTTGCAGTGATGTGGCTTGGAGGCATCCAAACAGAGATAGTCAGGTCTGAGGATAGTCTTAACCTGCGCTTTCAAATGTCTTTAATGTATGCTAATGAAAGCTATGGACATGGATAAGATGATTCAGGAGGAAGTAGTGGGAAGGAGGGAAGGAAAGAGTAAAAGAGTGGAAGCCTTAAAGAACCCCCAAATCTAATGGCTACACGAAATAAGAGAAGCTGGAAATTAAACTAAGAGGGCACAGCCAGAGGGACAGGAGAAAAACCAAAAGAATCTGGGACATGCCAGTTTTGGGTCCCAGAGTTTCCATGGAGCATTTTTTTTCTTCTAATTAATTCAAGTGAAAATGAGTTTTCTCTTCTCTGAACTCCTAGAAACTCAATGAACAACTAGAATGCTTAGTACAAACCCAGTGCACTATGTCACATTGCCCGTAATTAAGCATTCAACTGCCATTTGTCCTGTATCCTATCATTACCATCTGAGTTGTAAGAGCTGCCATCCATGTAATTTTAACTCCTATAGTATTGAAGTAGTATGTGTTAAATAAATGATTTTTGTATTACATGTTATATTTGTTACATCGCTGAGGTAGAGAGGTCCACACTCTCTTTCTATTAGTTGGGCCTAAAAATCTTCTGCAAAATACATATCATACAGGCCATAAAATATCATCTCTCCCACTGCTTCATTATGAACTCTAAAATGCATCCAATAGCCTTCCCATTTGTCAAGGTCTTATTTACTTTTAGGTCCATATGTTGAGCCTACAGACAAATTTTATAGCCAGAGATTTGTTTTGATAGTTACAATAGTCACTAGTCCATGGAAGGGAATCTTTGTCCATAGCAGATAGAATAAAGACTTGGTAGGTCTAATCCTGCAATTCCAACTTAGTATTCCCTTAATGAGTAGAGAAAAACACTTTTATCTGCCTAAACAGAGTTTTAATCATCAAAAAACTATTTATTTTAGTGTTCACTGTAACCTAACCAATATGACTGTAATTTCAACTAAATTAAATATCAAACTTCTAGTTTGCCATTCTTTTGTCTTATTAGTTTAAGTTCATCACATTTCCATCCTCAGTCTTACTGTTTTCAGAAGTGGATAAGAAAGTGTAGACTGGTTTTCTACAAGGGCAAGGAATATCTTAAATCAGAAGAAATATATTACACAATTCCCAATAAAAGCAAAGGTTCCCATTTTTGATGTGGATAAATTCTTAAAAAATCTATAAGAAGCATAATAATTTTCTGGAATTCTGTGTCATCTTTAAATGAAGGTTATTATTATAGTATATAATAAACTTTATTAATCTATCAGTATTAAAAAGATGCCATGAAGGAAGAGAAGCAGCTTTCTATGTTAGCCCAACAAATAATATCTGCAGATACTTATTCCCGCAACCAAATCATTGAAAAGGAAAAATCATTGAAGGGATAGAAGCCAAACAAATGTCCTATAGGGGGGAAAAAATTGAAAGCCACATTTGTATAGTCCCTCCATACAAAATCCATAAATTGGTTGGGGTTAACAAATATTTAAGTACAAAAAAAAATGACACAACTTAAAAGGTAATTGTCCTAGGTTGAGGGAAAAAAAGATGGCAGAGTAGGAAGGCAAGGCCCAAACCTCTCCCACGCACACCATGGAAGTGACCACAGCAAACACAAGAAAGCCTGAAAACGACCTGAAGACTGCAGAACAGCCCATCCACCCCTGGGGAAGGAAAGAAGACCACACAGAGAAGTGTATAAAGTGGCAGAACCACAGTCAAATGGTAGCCAAGCCCTTCCCCCTCACAGCCCACAGGCACGAGGAATGCAGTGGGGAAAGCGGAGGCACTCGAACTCTGAACACGTAGCCCTGGAGATCTGCTCTGGGAACACAAGTCTACAATACACTGAGTTCTGGTGATTAGAGAGACTAAACACCAGGGACAGTTGAAGCATTCTGGGAGGCTGAGATAGCAGCCACTTATGGAAAACAGGCATGCTCCATCAGTACTCTGAGACCCAAAAACTGTGGTGGCAGTTTGAAAGACTTGCCAGCAGTAGGAGGGGTACCAGAGAGGTGCCAGAGAGTGCTTTCCACAGGGGAAAGGGCAGGGAGATAACACTTCCCCAGCCTCCTTCAGCCCAACAGGTCAGGCACCTTTGGGAGCCTCAAACATTCCAGGCTGGGGGCTCAAGCCCTGAGGCACTTTCCTGTGCACCTGTCTTCTTGGCCCAGCCATGTCAGACTTTGCTGCCTACTAGGCAGAGAGAGTCTCTCCTAGCTTTCTTAGGTAACTCCCAGCCCAATTAAGGTGGTGCCTGCAGAAGCCAGCTCCAAGCACTCCTTCCTCCTCTCAGACAGCCCACCTCTGCCACCACACTACTGTGCAACTCCTTGCTAGGTGACTGCCCAGAGTCCAAGACTGCCCCACTCACTGCATTAGCCCAGCAG